GTGATCATTTGTGGTGCCCTAAAATTTTGGGGCCTTTGAAAATAGAGCTTATGTGGATCCAAAGTGAGGATTTCGTTGCTCCTCCAGCATGGCATTGTTTGCCCCCTCAACGTAAGGGACGGGGGCATAGCCCCATTCCCCCCCCCCCCCCCCCCCCACCTCTACCACTCTCGATCCGTCATTGGTCAAGGTCGTTTGACAAGGCACGCCTCATCGCCTCAAAGCGTAGTTCGTAATTTTTCCTGAGTTGTCATTCGGCGCCATGTGTAAACCCCATTTGCGTCACTTTGGCGTGGGTCCAAGTATGCACCGTGTTGTGTTTGTGACTACAAAGCCCAATTATATGTTCTGAGAATTGTCGTTTGTGTGTGCTATGCAGCGGGCGCCTCCATCGCACGAGATGCATGTGTACTGGGCCATGCTGCCTCGAAACTCTCCCCACCCAGGCTCTAAGCGCATGTTTCCCTCAAGTCAACAGGCTCCCACTAGCGGCTCAGTAAGCGCGCGAACGGGTACGCACGCTATATTGCTACACACAGCCCACTGGTAGACGCCTATTGCATACTCTTTTGTGTATTTTATTTCAAGAGCATTTGCAATAAGCAACGCTCAAAGTGCTCTCTGCTGGCCTTGCCTTGAGCACGCGGAAAACGACCTGTACATGTTAAAAATTATCCTTGCGGCTCAATTGACTAAACTTAAGCCAACTTCAGTTGAAACACCCAAATTTTATCAAAATAAGAAATAGCGTTGTATAAAAACCGTTCAAGCTACGTTTTTGTCCTAATTTTTCTATTTAAGTGGAGGATGCATGTATTTCCATTTGTCACTGTTGCACTTAAGGGATACCCGAACCTCCACCCTAGGTTTTTTGGGATATCTGACCGTCATTTGAAAAAAGCTGATGATCAACCAAGGGCGTCATTATTTTTTACAGGTCTTAAAATTATCAAGTTTTTTATGCAAGCTCTGGAACACTACATTGCCTTGAGCGTTGCCATATCAAAAGGATGCAAACTGAGGTTGCCGATTCCGTGACAAAATTTTGATCTAGCAGCACTGGATGCGACCTTGAAAAACGCGAGACGCGCGTTGAACGGACGTACAGACTTGTGTCGAGTGCTGGATAGGGGAGGGGTATAGTGTTTTATTTATGCAACGTGCACATTGGTGAAGGAACCACCAAAAACTTTCATAAACTTTCATTAAGCGTGGTGTTGAGGAATGTATGTTGTTTAGGTGAATGATTCACTTAAAGAATGCTTCCAGGCCGCTTGTACACAACCAGGTCATTGGTGAGGCACTATGGTCATTGAGGCCCCCAGCCTCAATGATTATACAAATGATATCCAGCTGGAAAGGAAAAGGATCCAGGATCACCGACAGATGCTTGTGCTTTGGGAAGGACGCTGTTGGTGCATATTGAATACTGGACTGTAGATACATATATATATATATATATATATATATATATATATATGCATGGTTTGATGGTGATATGATAAGACGCGTATCTTTACAAGAAGCTCAACAAAAGATACGGACATCCCTACGTCTTCTGTTTACATGCCAACATTTAAACGGTGAATTCACCGTTTTTAAGGCTCGTTGTGTGCCTTAAATAAACAGTGATCGGATACCGAGATCATTTCAAACTTTTTTACATCTGCACACCCTACCGAATATGGATTTGGGAACACTCATCATGGATGTTGAAAACATGGGGAAAAGAATACAGGCGTTTTACTGTGTCTTGGTGTCAAATCTTCAATGGTTTTGTCCGAAAACTTTCCGCTGACCATGCTCTTAGGTGTTCTTTTTGTTTTAACGTCTACCTGAGGGATTGGGTTCCTTTTCAGGTTTTCATAGCTGTCGCTGTCGTTAAGTATAATCTTAGCCTAGATGACAAAAGTTAGCCTGTCTAAGATTACAAAACCCCTACACTTGTCGCTCTGTTTATCTATGATGTCATATTTGCTAAGGTCCCCGATAAAGCTTCGCTGATCTGCATTGACATTAACTTCGCCTTCTTTATGGCTTTTGAACGCGCGCAGTACGTCACCCTTCAATTTCTGTAGGCTGACTTCTACTTCATTACTGGAAGGTTCTGGAAAGTTCTTACCGGTGTCTGGAAATCTAAGACAGATTTGGGATGCGACCTCGATGAGGCTAATTTTCGTTGTGATCTTTTGCGTATGCCACACCAAGGCCACAATGTGCGTTCGCCGGTTCTGATGTTACTGGCGCATCGTCTATTGGATTTGATCGATCTTGGCCCGGTGTGGATGCAGTGGCCAGCTAGCTGTGTTGCTGCCATTACGCAATTTTGAGAGGTAGTCCTTTCGCCGTTTGCCGTATGCAAAACGCTCGACTCCTTTTTTTACTTGAAGCCAAAATGTCCTTAGATGCTGGCTGCTTCAGCGCATAGTTTGGGCCTCTGGCTAGAAGATTGAGTCCTGATACAGCTGGGATTAAGTCCTGGTTTTCCTGACGAATAGGGCTAATACTACTGTTTCATCGATAAAAGTATCATCCAACTGGGAGACCATGTTCCGTAGGACTCGTGTTTACCTGCTGTCAATGAAAATATCTCCATGATGAACACATGGGGTCATGGACGGGTCAATGACCTCCAAGATCACTGAATGGCCATTAGCATAGGGAGTTGGCTGTTTGGTTGACCTACATGCTTTTCAACTTCATTATAACTGGTTGTAATGCAATGCGCTTAAAAAACGAAAATCGTTGAACGTAGTCTTCCACCTCTGTTTAAAACTGCGCACTGGAAATCAAAAACCTGCTTTATTCAGTGATCTTGTCACAATCTAGAACTACACAAAACAGGTCATTATCTTCCAATCAGACCCAAGTTCGACTCTAGCTGCACTATGAAAAGATTCCTGAGTTAATCGTTTGGGGATGAGTCGTGAGCTGAATCGGCTCACCACGAAAATGTTGCATTTAGCCATGAGCTGAATCACATGCTTCGTAAATTCATGACCTGAATCATAAGTCGACCATTACTCAAAATGTTGTGTCACTGAGTCATACGGTTCAAATGAAAATGGTAACATGAGGCAACATGACACATTTCAGACAAATAAACGGACCATCTCAGAAGGTTAAGAAAACAGCATGCGGCATTATTCATAAAGTTTTTTTGGAAAATCAGTGTTATAATTTCTATGCCAGGAACCAAGAAAATCACATGGTACATAATTCTACGTTGCCTTATCTTACCCAAAAATCGTTGAAATTTTTCTGTTTCCTGTAACATAAAATGGATTGGCATATTTTCAAACTCACACATCAGTAAGAACGCCAGTCGGAATAATCATTCCATACGTAAGACTAATGCCTCTTCTCAATCCTTCCGCAAAACTGTGAACACATCATTTGCAGAATGGCCACAGTTGTGGTGTTAAAAATCTGCCATCAGTGCTAACGATCTCTCTCATCGGAAGGCTATTTGCTGACGTTAGCGATAGGTTCGCAGTATGAGCCGTGAATTAGATACGGAAAACGTGCTGGAGTCACCGGATAACTTTGTGCTGCCAGCAAAAATTTCGGGCACTTGAAATATGTGGTCAATGGAAGCGAATTCCTAAAATAAAACAAACCAGTATATTTAAATATAAATTTCCTGCAATCCTACGTGCACAATAAATATCAAGATGACTAGACGCGTTCCTTGTAAGCAATGGTAATGTTGTTGGTGTGGAATATGCAGCAACCTTGTTTGATTACTCGTGCGCAACAAATAACATTCCCGTTGACATCTATAACCAACAGTTGCTTGCTTATATTATTAACCAGTTATGATCATGTAATCATTTATCAACGTATTTATAAAAAACAAGTGGACAAATTTTAGATGTAGAATACCGGTGGAACACCTGCAATGTGGTCAGCAATATTCGCTAAAACGCCGGCGGGATTTTTAAGCTCGCACCTCCCAGGCCTGCGTGCTCAAAAGTGGCAATACTAGCACATATTTTCAAACTACAGGGACTTGCTGTTAGCCCTCTAGACTGTCCCATCGGGGTTTGGGCTTGTTTTCTGAACATGCTAGGCCTGGTCCTGGGACATATTTGGGGCGTCAGCTGCGTTCTTTAAATGTTAAAACAAGAAGAATAAGAACCCCTAAAGCCCTAAAGCTTAACCCCTACGACCTCATGAAGACTGCATCAAGAATAAAGGAGTGCCTCAAACCCTGGGTGGGTTTCTTTTCTTGCCGCGGGGCGCTCCTCCAGGATATGAAGTGTTTGAAGCCCCCGTTTATTCTTTAGAGCGTGCTTCTTGTCCTCAGCATATATATTCGTACTGCAAGAGCACCCCACCAGCTACCGGGGACGGGGATGGCTGCCCAGTTGTTGGGGTGCTCTTTGTTATTTAGTATTGTCGCCCTCAAAGCACAGACTACAGGGGGGTGGGATGGGCGAATGAGTCCGCAGAGACCCCTCTGTGTGCGTTTATTTCATCCGTTAAGTTAGCTCAGCAATACCTGAAGGGGGGGGGGGGGGGATTGTACAAGTGCCGTCTCTGCGCTTCCAAGCCGTGCTGTTTTTATGCATATGGCGATGCAGACAGAGCACATATCGCGCTGGACTTTGTCGTTCCCGCAGTGCATCTCGGTCCAGAATAATGCTTGCTACATGCACACCATGTCCTTGTTTAAATACGATTTGCAATTATCCCCTCTGAACCACGTTCTATGGACTGCATCCTGATGTATCGAGGTGCAATGTGTAACACATGGGTTCAGTGAGAGGCGTGTAGCACGGTTAACCATATGCAAAGACCTGCATTACTTGTAGCCATTCCACGTCGGCCTAATATCGGCGCGGTTTTACCGTTCTGTGCTACTCGGCATCTGTGCATTGCCGCTCTGATCTGCTCTGCGCATATGCATTCTAAGCACAAGTCATGGAGGGGAAATATACCATACTTTTGACCTGTAAATATATTCTCCAATGCTACCATGTAATTGAAAGGCTGCATTGCGCATACAAAGTTCACGTATATTGAGATTCATGAGCAACACGTACATCTCGTTACGCATGCATTTTACATTTCTTCAGGTTGAACGAGAGATAAATCGGTTAGACACAATAGTGCGCGAAACGCGAGAGCACGAGAAGGCCTCGACGCAAAAGCACCGACATGTTAGGTGCAGCTGGGTCGCATTACGCACCACATTGAGATAGGATGCATTACACTAAAACCCTGGAGCGCTTAGTACACTTTTAGCGAGTCAAATAGCGATCTGATGCATGCGTTCATGATAGCGCTTATTGTAGCGCTTCCAGAATCCGTCAACGACTGCGTGCTAGCACACCAAACCTTTTCCTATGGTCAGGTTGTACAAGCACTGACACAAAACTGCATTACGCGCTTCGTCAGATCTGTGAAAAAGCAATGCGTTACCTCCCGGAGTCTGGTACCGTCACAGCACCACGCCACATCAGCCTTCACGGCTCCGCCTGTCGACAACTCGAAGCGCCGCGGGTCACATCGCTCGCGGACCCGGTGCCCCTCCACGTCCCTCATGAGCGGACCCGGTGCCCCTCGGCGTCGCTCAGGACCGCTTCATAAGCCCGCCCAGGATGTCAACCGGCACCGGGAAGATGATGGTGGTATTCTTCTCCGCCGAAATGGAGTTGAGGGTCTGCAGGTACCGCAGTTGCAGCGCGCTCGGACTCTCGGCCATCACGTCAGCGGCGTCCTTCAGCGCCCGGGACGCCTTCATCTCGCCCTCCGCTGCGATGACCTTGGCCTTGGCTTCACGGCTGGCCTCGGCCTCTGCGGCCATGGCGCGCTGCAGCTCCTGCGGCAGGCGCACGTCTTTGACCTCGACCCGCTCGACCTTGACGCCCCAGGGGTCAGTGGCGTCGTCCAGGGTGCTCTGCATCAGGTGCGCGATCGTCTCGCGCTGCGAGAGGACGTCGGAGAGCGCGTACTGGCCGAGGACGGTGCGCAGGGTGGTGGCCGCCAACAGGCGTGTTGACGTGCCGCAGTTCTCCACATTCGTCACCGACACGGTCGGCTCGAAAATGCGGTAGTAAACCACGGCGTCAACGGAGACGGTCACCAGGTCCTTGGTCAAGATCTCCTGCGGCGCCACATCGAACGAGACAACGCGGAGGTCCACGCAGCGGAACGTGTCGATGCAGGGCAGGATGAAGAACAGGCCGGGGCCCTGGGCGTCGCCGGACACGAGCCGCCCCAGCCGGAAGATGATGGCTCGCTCGAACTCCTGCACCACCTTGATGGTGAAGCACAGCGACAACGGGAAGAACACGATCACCAAAAGCCAAGAGATGAGCGTCAGGAAGAAGTGGCAGCAGTGGTTGGTCTGGGCGTTCGCCTCGTCGCGGCCCAGGACGCGGGGCGGCGGCCGAACCGGCTCGTCGGCAAGCACCTCCGACGTGACCTCGAGGCCAGCCTTCTCCGCGACCGCACCAAAGCCGTACTCTACCGTGGTCGTCTCGCCGTAGCCCCCGCCAGCGACGCTTCCGCTTGCTCCGCTCGACGCCATCACGCCGCTGGTGGGGACAGCGCAGGAAACGTGCCGGCCCAGTCGTCACTGCCCGCACGGCGCGGTCAGATTCTGCGCGACTACTCGCGGTCACAGCGACCTTGAGCGTCCCCTCCACTTAGCGAGGTCGGCCACTGCGCGAACGCGGCCTCGACAGACGCACAAGGTTCCCTTCCTTGCAAGCACCGCTCAGGTCCTGTTTCGCTTGACGAAACCACCGCTTGCGTTCACAGCCCACTATTGCGCGTTCCCTCCGCGCCCCTCCGTTTGCGCTCGCCCGAGCTCAGCTGTTTACGTCCGCAGTGTGCGACGCCGCCGCCGCACGGCGCCACCAGTCGCCAACCGGTGGCCTGCTCATCAGGCGTCAAGGCTACCTTCCATGCGCCGCGCGTCAAAGCAGGAATGTATTCTGGTCATGGGCAGATTCAGGATTTCGTCAAGGGGGGCAGGGGACATTGTGGAGCCCTCTTGGGCCTAGGTGGTCTGGAGCTTTGGGCCCCCTTCCCAAAAATGTTTTTGCATTTCGGTCGGTACATTTTAAAACAAGCATGTAATATATATATATATATATATATATATATATATATATATGTGTGTGTGTGTGTGTGTGTGTGTGTGTGTGTGTGTGTGTGTGTGTGTGTGTGTGTGTGTGCGTGTGTATCTGTGTGTGTATGTATGTATGTATATATGTACATAGATATATGTGTATGTATACATTTACTTCTTCATTTATTTAATAAATCCGTAAACCCGTCTTACTGCGCACAGCCCTATAAAGCCTAGGCGTGCCACGCATGCATACACGTAAAGCTCACTCATTTTCTGCAGATCAGTTTGAATGCTGTGGTATTGATGCTAAATGTTTTGAACAACAGACAAAAATAAACTTGAGCCGGCTGCTAACAATCATCAGAACGAAGGTTTTTACGGCTAGCCGGCTGGGTAGTCAGCTGATAGCTGATGACTACTGGAGAATTTTCCCTTTGTTATTGAGGAGTACAACATATGAAAACATTCAAAATGTGTTAAGAACATGCTGAACTAGCATAATAATTGTCACATACTCAATAGCCAATGGAAATGACACATACGACATCGGCGGCATGTACAATTGCGTTCGGTAAACGTGCGTAAAAATTCATCGATGCATATTCGACTGCTGCTCTGAGGCGATGGCGCCAAGGCTAATGAGGACGGAGCCTGAGCGACCATGGGTGCCGCAGGAGGCCAGAAAAGTGGCTCTCGTCAACAAGTATAAGGCCCTCAGAGCAAGCAAAAAGAACGCAAGACCAACGCGGCGAGCCCCTTAACGATCGATAGTGCCCGGGCAAGCTGACGTTTAGGGCCCCGGCCAGCACAGGACCCTCCGAGCAAAGAGGAACTATCCAAGACCATGAATTAATGCCCCTGTGCGATCGAGAGTGGTCGGGCAGGTTAACAACACGAGCCTCGATAGCAGTGAAGAGTCCTCCGCAAATAAGACCAAAGGGAGAGAGCCCTCGATCAAAGTAGAGGGCCCCTGAGCATCGAGTATCTCCGTGTGTTACGTAATAAGAGCTCTAGCAATAGCGCAAAACTCTCCAAGCAAGTGGAAAGAACTTAAGACTTTTATGAAGGGCCCCTGAGCAACTGGGTGTACCCTGGAGTATGGGACCCCGGAAAAAGAGTAAAGAGCATTTCGGGCGAATGAGAAGAATCCGTAGAGGAAAACCTTACCGATCAACAGTGCTCGAGCATGGAGGCAGATAGCGTCCGAACAGCACACTGAGCCCTGCAAGAAAATGTAAAGAGATCAAGGACAACGTGTAAAGCTCCTTACCGATCAGATTGACCTGGCAAGTGGACGTATAGGGCTACGCAGCCAACAGCGTAATGCCTCTATGCATCTATGATGAGCCCCAAAATTTCCCCCCAAGCAACACTTTCTCAATCAGCGGATAATGAGCTCCGTTTACCTATGAACTCTTTGCCTTTACTTACAATGGCTCTTGGTCGTCTGCAGGCCGAAAAGCATCCAATTTTGTTGTTTTTTGTTGTAAGAAAACTGCATCCGTCCGGCCGGTTATGGGCCCTATCGGAGACCTCAGGTACCCCCGGCATGGCCCCTTCGGAGACCTTAGGTACCCTCGGCATGGTGGAGGATGGTCCTGTAACTTCGCCCCCCCCCCCCCCCACACGCCCTCTGCGTCTGCCACTGGCCCAAACAGCTGAATAGATGGGGCCCGCCAAGAACATAAAGCCATCCATTCTAATAAGAAATACAACGCAATATGTACGGCTCTGAAAGATCGAGTGCGCCTGAACAGGTTAACATATAGGGCCCTCATTAAGAGCGCAGGACCCTCCATTTTAGTAGAAAGTGCCCAAGAGCCAGTGTAGAGGGCCCCCGAATGATCGAGAGTGCACGAGCAGGTTGATAGAAAAGGTTTCCAAAAAGAGCGCTGTGTCCTCCATCCAAATATAAAGCATTCAAGACTCATTGCAGAGGACCCCCGAATGATCGGGTGTGCTCGACCAGGTTAACAAACAGAGCTCCTGATAAGAGCGTAGCGGTCTCCATTCGAATGGGAAGCATCGAAGACCCCATGTAAATGGCCCCAGAAGGATGGAATGTGCCAGAGCAGCTTATCAGAAAGGGCCCGACAATAGCGTAGGGTCCTCCATTGAAATAAGAGGGAGCCAAAACCCAGTGCGGAGGGCCCCCAAAAGCTGGAGTATACCCGACCAGATTATCAGGTGGCCCAGACAGAAGGGAAGGGCTCTAAATTCTAACGCCAAAACCCAATAAATGTGCCCCGAACAATCCAGTGTAGCCAAAGCGGCGAACAGATGGGGATCATATAGGAGATACTTCCCTCCATGCAGATAGGAAGTACCCAAGACACAACGTGGAGGGCCCCCGGATATTCGAGTGTGCCCGAGTAGGTTAACATAAGTGGCCCCGGCAAGAGAGTAGGGCCTTCCGTTCAAAAAGGAGACACCCACGACACGATGTAGAGGACCACGAATATTTGAGTGCGCCAGAGCAGGTTGACAGATAGGGCCCCGGAAAAGCGGAGGTCCCTCCATTCAAAAAGGCGGTACCAAAAGCCAGATGTAGAGGACCCCACGATCAAATGGGCCCAAGCATCTTATCAGAAGGAGCCCCGGCAGGAGCATAATGCCCTCCATTCAAATAAGAAGCACCCAAAAACACCATGCGGAGGGTCCCCGAAAGACGGAGTGTACCCGAACAGGTCATCAGATGACCCGGATGGGAGGAGAGGGCCCTCAATTCATACGTCAAGAACCAATGTGCAGGGCCCTCCGAGCAATCCAATGGGGCCGAGGAGGCAAACAAAGGAGGCCCCCGACAAGAGAGTAGGGCTGTATTCGAATAGCACGCGCCCAAGGCCCGATGTAGAGGGTCTTCGAACGATCAAATGTGCCCGAGCAGGTTATCAGATAGGCCCCCAACAAGGGCGTAGGCCCCCTCAATTTAGATAAGAAGTACCCAAGACCCAATGTAGAGGGCTTCCGCAAGATCGAGTTTGCTCAAGCAGGTTATCAAATAGAGCCCCGCAAGAGCATAAGACCCTATTCAGAAAAGAAGTACCCAAGACCCTGTGTGGAGCGTCACCAAACGGCTGGGTGTGCCCAAGCAGGCGTTCAGATGGGCCCCCACGAGAGTGTAGGGCCTTAAGCAAGCAACAGAGAATTGAAAACGCCCCGGACCAATGTAGAGGGCCCATGAACATATCGCAAGTGTGTCGGTGGATTAACCGAAACCCACATAAAGGGCTCCCGAGCAACCGAGAATACCCCGACAGGTTAAGATATGGGACCCCGGCTATAGTTCACAAAATCTTTCTGGGGAATGGAAAGAACATGTGGAAGAGCCCGTGATTGACAAGAGTGCCCCGGCACGCTAACAGGAAGGCCCCAACAACAGTGCAGGGCCGTCCGAGCAAATGCAAGGAAATGAAGGGCAGCGTGGAATGCTCCTTAACGATCGAAATGATCATGCAAGTGGGCGTATAGGTCCCCGGAAATGGCATGGGCCATTAGGCACTGTAATGAGGATTAAAATATCCAGGTCACAACTTTTTCCATTGAACGATATTTGATTGTCATTGGACAATTGTTTTGACTTCTCATAGGCCGTTCACTTTTGTTTAAGCTGTTCCTGGTCGCCTGGTTCCTGGTTTTGTTTAAGCTGTTCCTCCAGATACCCAGTTTTGCTGCGTGTTGTGTCAAAAAACTGCACCTGTCCGGTTGTTCGGTCAACTGTCCTGCTACTGTTCTGGGGTGCTCCTGTCAATCAGGACCTTCCACAGATTGATCCCATTTTCCCGAAAGGCTCTGTGCACTATAGCCAGGGCCCCATATGTTGACCTGCCGAGGTATTCTCGGTTGCTCAGGGGCCCTTCACATTGGTCTCGCTAATCTACCAGCAACCTCGCGATATGCTGATGGGCCCTCCACACTGGTCTAGATCCCTTCCAAATATCTGTCACTTGCTTAGGGGTCTGCGCTCTCGTCGAGAGTCCATATGTTTACTTGCTTGTGCACACTTAATCGATCGAGCCCCTCCAAATTAGGCCTTGGATTCTTTCTCAGTGGAGAGCCCTACACACTTGTCGGGACCCCATCTTTTAACCTGGCCGGGAACACTGTATGCCGGGACCGGGAACACTGGATTGTTTGGGGGCCTTGCACACTGTATATTTGAATGCAGGGCCATGCCCTCCTGTTGGATGCCCTATCGTAACCTGCTCGGATATACTCCATATTTCGAGGGCCCTTCACATCGGATCTTGGGGTCCTTTTATTTTTGACAGGATTTTATTTGATTTGAATCCTGTCATTTGATTTGACCTAAAATGACAGGATTTACCACGAACTGGAGAAAATGAATAAGCTCCATGCATGTGCATACGTAGCACGCCTAGCTTTATAGGGATGTGTTAAGTATGATGTGTTCCCATGTTTACTGTATACATATATATGCATATATAGTATTCATATATGTACATATATACATGTGTGTGTGTGTGTGTGTGTGTGTGTGTGGTGTGTGTGTGTGTGTGTGTGTGTGTGTGTGTGTGTGTGCGTGCGTGCGTGCGTGCGTGCGTGCGTGCGTGCGTGCGTGCGTGCGTGCGTGCGTGCGTGCGTGCGTGCGTGCGTGCGTGCGTGCGTGCGTGCGTGCGTGCGTGTGTGTGTGTGTGTGTGTGTGTGTGTGTGTGTGTGTGTGTGTGTGTGTGTGTGTGTGTGTGTGTGTGTGTGTGTGTGTGT